CAGCAGTTCCGCGGTGATGATCTCGTGACTCAAACGGAATATTAATCTAAGCTGGGCATACATGACTTTTAGGTGTGAAAAATTATTCATTATTAGGTGTCTTAAAACACCTATTTAAATGGTAGTCAAAGTTGCCATAAGTTCCGCGGTGATGATCTCGTGACTCAAACGGATTATTAATATAAGCTGGGTATTCCGTGTTTTCCAGGTGTGAAAATGAGTTAGTCTTGGGTGTCTTGATGGTTTCACAGTTACCATTTAAGTTCCGTGGTGATAATCCAGTGACTGTTGGCATATTTCTATGTTCATCAGTTGATAACTGACTGTTGGCATATTTTCATTGCACCAGTTGATAACTGGAGTGTACATATTTCCAGTTGCACCAGTTGATGACTGAGTGTTGGCATATTTCGAGTTGAACCAGCTGACACCAATTAATTTGCATATTGAATATGGGGTGCGTGCAGATCTATGTTTTTTAAACAATTTATCTGAATTTACAGCATATTTCGTAATTACTGATGATTTAGTTATATGCAATTCATTTCGAAAATACTACAAATATAAATTACCAGTTATTAGGACATTTCGCTACTTCGTATAAATTACATTTAGGTAAACATGAATAAGGGAAACATTAAATACGAACTAAAATAATTTCAATAAATTACAAGTATACGAACATTTTTCGATTAATTCAATTATGTAAGTCTACTTATTACCAATGGCTTTACATTGGAAAAAAAGACGTACCAGTATTGTTGCTGTTCAACTGGTTGGAAGTTTTACCAAATGGTTATAATGGCTCAGCTAGACCAGTTGAATTATAACTGACCTGGATCACCTGGATCATTTAGCCCATTTCAATTTCCAGGGTTACAAGTTGGCATTAAATGGTTCATCAACTGGACCAGTTGCAACTAGCTTTCTCTTCTGGGATGTTTGCACCCCCCCCCCCAAACCCCCTGTAATCCCAAACTGCTTCCGGCGCGCCTGGACGTAATTATGGAAGATCCAAGACACGATGTTCAGAAACGGGATGAGAACGTCATTATTTTGGTTTATTTATTGTGAACATTTGCGTAATAATTAGGTTGAACGCAGGTTACAGTAACATACTTCCTCTTCGACGTAAATTTCACGTGAATGAAGAACATGATTCATCTCAAGTCAGCCTCGTAATATTCACGTGAATTTCACGCAGATATTTTGACTAAAACTATCACTAACGCTTCGTGTTTCTGTGACGCGATAATTTCGTTTATGAAGATGTAATTTCATAACCAAACAAACACGGGAGTATTAGGTTTACAAACCATGGTCTCCAAGGTAGGGATAATCACGTTATTATAATGGTGATATTGCAGTGACGATTGCGTGATTTGGTGTACGTGTGTTTTAAGTTACCTAGTGCAATAAACGTATTAACACATTTACGTAAATGTCAGGTGTTTGAAGAACGTAACTCTCCTCAAGTCGATACCTTGATATTGACGTGATTTTCACGTGATTTTATTTATTGGGACACGCTCCCTAACACTCATAACTGAAGTTTTTAGCAAATTTAGGCGAGTTTTTAGCAAATTTCGCCCGGCCACCGAGCGGCGGACGCCGTTTTAGGGCATCGCTCGGTCGCCGCTGAAGTTTTAGCGCTGAGTTGAAACTCGGGCAGCGCCTGCTCATTTTTCACTCGCCGCCCAAAATACGCTCGGTGTCTGGGCGGTCGCCGCCCGGGCACTGACCTAATCGAGCTTTCGGCGTAGAGCGATTTAGGTCAAAAATCGAAGCCGCTAGGTCAAAGCAGGGATACGTGAGTTTAACTCACATATCCCTGGTCAAAGGCTGCCTAGCGTTCGACGCCCAGTCACCGCCCGGTCGCCGCTGGGAGATCAGTTGGTCACTGTCAGGACGCCGCGCGGAGAAGCTCCCCAATTTCGCCAAGTTTTGACCTAAAAATATACCGGCGACCGATAGGAAATCAACAGAGCAAAGCCCAGGCATCGCTGGGGCTCTACAGCCTGCTCGAATTCTCCAAGAGCCCGCCGGGTAATCGATGGGTCATTAGTCGGTCACTGCCGGGACGACGCGCGGAGAAGCTCCCCGAATTCGCCCAGTTTCAACCTAAGATCGACCGGCGACCGACGGGATATCGACAGGGCACCGCCCAGGCATCGCTGGGGCTCTACAGCCTGCTCGACTTCTTCTCCAAAATTCGTGGGGCGATGCCTAAATTCCAGCGGCGACCGAGCAGGCTAGAAATCGGTCTGTCGCCGCTCTGAGTTGTGACCATAGCTTTACAAAATAATATCAACACTGAATTAGCCAAAGTAACAAAATGGTTCAAATCAAATAGATTGTTGATAAATCCTAGAAAACAAACTACATTACTTTCTTCCATAGTCAGTCAAATTCCACTAATTTGCTTGACACTTTGTTTATAAAAATAAACGAGGTTCCGTTAAATAAGGTTAAAAGTGTTAATTTTCTTGGTGTTTATATTGATTATAATATGCGATGGGACACTCATGTCAATAAAGTCACTCAAAAGGTATCTCTAATGTATTGGTATATTATACAGACTCGCTTCCTCCTTCAGCATTAATACTGCTATATGATTCGTTCATGCTCTCATATTTAAATTATTGTGTTGCTGTTCGGGGTAATTGGGCAATTGTAGTCGAACTAAATTAGATAAATTATTTAAATTGCAAAAAAAGCCCTTCGCATATGCCTGGGATGTCATTATTGTGTCCATTCTGCCCCACTGTTTAGACAATTGAAATCTCTCAATATTTCTGATTTGTACTATAACTCCATTGCCCTCCTTGGTTTCTTTTACTTTCAAAATGAATTACCTGTTAACATTTGTCAGATGTTCACTCTTAATTACCAGAATGATACATAATCACAATACCCGTCTTAAAGATTCTCTGCACTAATGGCCATATTATGTTCATGAAATTGTACGATGAAAAGAAGAAAAAAGATGCAGAAACCAATAAATCAATTAAAATCAAATCAAATCAAAAACAAATTAGGTAATGAAATCAGTACGACATAACTTCCCTGTGATTTGAAACTCCATCTTCAAAGATATCTCTGAATGCAAGTCTGTTAATTCTTTCAAAAAAAGGTTGGGGCAGTTTCTTTATCTCAAATATGTACAGTTATTTATCTTTTGTTTATATTTGTGTTATATGTGTTTGTTTTTTTGTTTTTGTAATATATATATATATATATATATATATATTCTTCTTTGTTTTACATTAAGCTATGAATGCTTTGGGAACTAAGCTTGTACAAGGCCTAAGGGCTTTATTTATGTAGTTCCCGATTTTTCATTTCCTCAATTTGTTTAAGAACTATTTTGTATCTTTTGTATCAATGTTGGTTTTAAGCGAGAATGAAATAAATGAGAGTTGATTTGAATTGAATTGAAGAAAGTATTTGGCGTCACCTGTGCCTTGGAGGTGAAAAGCGAACTTAATCACTGTAACCCTCGGGTCTCATCCACCGGCATAAGTGATTTGGGATGTGCAGGTGGACTGGAGTTGCCCTCTACTCTTATCATCCTATTTGTTTGGATTTCAATCAATACAATTTGAATTGAATTGAATATAATACAACTATTGCAGCCAATATCAAATTCTGTAGAACTTTGCAGGAATTACGAATATGTCATGTATGTCCTATCTGTGAAATTGAAACGTTAGCAGTGTCCTAATATTCAAAGTATGCAAGGAAACCCGTTTCCTTGCTAGACTTCACTGTCAGACACTATTGAGTGACTGACTGGATTTTTTTTATTCTTTGGTAATAACATACATAAAATGAGCTGAAAAGGGTACATGAGCATTTGTCTACATCAATAACCCACTTCTTGTAATGGCAAAAATGAAACTGATTGAATCCTTGCGCAATACAAAACGTACGACCATTCGGTACAATGGTCTGGAAATCAGACGATTACTGACTTGGTAGCACTTAAGTCGATTCGAAAACTAAGGTCGTTATTTTCCAACTTGAGAGATTTGTAAGCCCCCCTTTTTCTAGGAAATTTATAAATAAATATTATCTTTCAAACATATAGCTCCGTTTAGTCTCATTTCACAACGCCCCCTATCGTCAGAGTCAGCAGCCTAACATGTTAGCCTATGGAATTTTATCCCCCGAAATCGTTAAAAATTCATTTTTTGTTTAAACGAAAAGCACATCCACCCCGACGTACGTTATCACTAGCTCTTTCATGGGAACCCTCATATCCCATTGACTTTTGAAAGTTCACCCACCGTATTTGATCAAAATAGGTTGCAGGCTCGTCATTGCCTATAATACACATGTGAAACAAGTCGAACTTTGGACTCAGTTTACCGAGCGATTTTAAGATTATAGGTCAAGCACACGAAGGATAAGAAGCATGAATTATCATGGATCACTTCTGCTAGGTTCATTGTGTCCATTTCATCCACCCCCCCCCCCCCCTCCACCGTAATTTTTCCATTGAAGATAAGCAAACATTTTGCAGAGGTAAGCAAAAGCATTTATTATTTACAAGGGGTGCAATTGTGCACAACATCAAACTCCCCTACTTTAAGTCACGTATTTCATTGTATTATGTAGTTTGGTAGGTTTATTTTAATAACTGTTTAATTATCAGATATCAATGATAGTTTAAAGATATGGAAAATGTTCTTTTATTTTATATTTAGCAAAGCAATCTCACATACAAATTCACTACCAAGTGTCGTCTAATCCGCTGATTGTCGTCTGCTATATACGTCCAGCGAGCGAAAATGAGACAACCGGAGCAATATGTGATGAGGCTTTTCTGTGTAAACAAAATAATTATAATTAGGTATTGTTTGTATTATTATTATTATTATTATTATTTATATGATTATTATTATTATTATTATTCCTACTATTATTATTATTGTAATAGTTATTATCATGTTATTATACTATCATATCATGTTGTTTACTTTTAATTATAAAGGACAATGTATAGGCCAGTTGCTAAATTGTACAGAACTTGATTTGGTCGTCTTTATAGGGATCTACGCTCCACTCAGCTCAGCCACCTTCCAGCAGGCGTCTTTATCGGACTTTGTCGGTTACAGAAACTGTAAGTTTGCTTTAATAAAACTTTTACCTCTTCAGCTATATTCAACAGTGGCCTTCAGCCAATTTGGGACACTAGAACCATGGGGAAGGCGCCCTTGTTCGGTGAATAACGTCCGAAATAAGAAGGATATCAATTTGGGCTCAGGAAGGGTGCGGGATCATATAAATTTTCTTGTCCTATCCCTCATCCTCCCCAAGGGCGTCAATCCGGGGGACAAGGGGGACACGTCCCCCCCCCCCTGTTCATTCACAGGCTTGGCTGACCCGCCCCTGTGTAATTGTGTCCCCCCTCCCCTCCCCCCATGCTCAAGCTCGGATTTACGCCCTTGATCCTACCCTTTACCTTTTCTCCTCCTTATCTTCTCTTTGCCCCATTCACCTTTCCGCCGTAGCTACGCAATTAATGTCCATTAACATCGTGTAACATAAATATACATATATATAGATATTGGTGTAAAACTGCTGATTCTCAGTAATTAGATAGAAATACCGAGCTTTGAGTGATAGTATAGAATTACACCACAATCAGCAGTTCACTATGAGAAGAAATCAATCTTTGAATATTCAAGGCCTCATTCATAATTCTGAATTTGACTGTAAAGCGTTCCCTTTACTTTGCTATAAGTGGATCTTTTAATTTTATGTGTTCTTATATTACAGGACGCTTGGTCACAATAGCCTGACTGTTCTTGAAAATGGGACATTCGAAGGTCTTCGTAATTTAGGCGGATTGTAAGTCTACAGAATATCATATTCATGTTGTCACGTTTGTCGATGAAAGCTTGCCCTGAAAAGATATAGTGGGCGAAAGTGTCACGAGATATAAAAAAAAAAATTGTATTTCAGAAAAACAATAAATCGTTCCAGGTATAATTGTAACAGTATATTATGGTTAAAGCTCCACTGCACTACTTGTAGCTACTTGCTTCCTCTATATAGAAAACAATGCCTTATGCCTAGGTCACATATAAACCGGGCCCCGTACGATTTTCCCTACCCTGCGGCGCCCGGGGGGTGCCCGGAGAAAATTGGTCGTGTAAAATGCAAGGCGCCCGTAAGGGTGCCGGCAGGGTGCCAGCCGAGTGCTATCCGGTAACCTTACGGGCTCCGTCCGATGAGCAGGTGTACCGATGTCTCCCGGAAGGTGCCCTGCCGGGGGCCGGACGGGGTCCTCAAGGCGTCCGGCCAGGTGCCGTGCGGTGCACTGAACTACAGAGTGAGTCAGAAAAAATGTCCCACTTTTTAAAAGTTGTATTGTTTGAAGTATGAATATTTAATCATGGGTTTCATGATATATCTTGATAGAGTTATCCTCCCAGTACATTTAGGTACCATTTTCATTTGAATCTCTCCATGCATCACTGAATATCAGGCAATCTTTACAAAACTGCCAGATCTCACTTACGCCAAGTTACTGGGTGAGGAATAAAACAGTGCATTGAACAAAGACAGTCAGACACGCGCACACGCACACACACTCACAAACATACAAACACACGCACACACAACACACATGGTGACAATTGTTTCATAATTACCCCTTTTCTGATTGAGCGTTGATTTTTATCAAGATCGCTGAATGTTTAAGTGGCATAACCCTATAAATCTTTCCCTTTCTGTACACATTCACTACCACCATCATGTCATCATCATCATCATTGTCATCATCTTAATCTTCATCATCATCATCATCATCATTATCATCATCATCATCATCATCATCATGAAGCACAACATCCACCAATACGCACCAAGAGGACAGCGGCCACTCAACTTTTCGTACGATAAGAAGAATTCCCGACACAAAGTAAGAGTTTGGGTGGGCCTTGTCGGGAATGGAATGCTCATTTGTGTGCGTGTGTCTGTGCCTGTGCGTGTGCGTGTGTTTGTGTGTTTTTGTCTATCTGGCTAATTGGATAATTGAAAAAAACTGATTGTCTTTGTTCAAAATATTATTTTATTCCTCACCTAGCAACTTGGCGCAAGTGAGATCTGGCAGTCTTGTAAAGATTGTCTGATGTTCAGTCATGCATGCAGAGATTCAAATGAAAATGGTACCTAAATGTACTGGGAGGATAACTCTATCAAGACATATCATGAACCTCATGATTAAATATTCATACTTCAAACAATAGAACTTTTAAAAAGTGGGACATTTTTTCTGATTCACTCTGTATGTGTCCTCTGGTATCCGCACCTCCGGTATTTAAAACTGCGTTGTACATTTCGAGATGCCGCCGTGAGGGACACGCACGGGCAATATTCATTTTAAATTGCCCCCGGACGGCAGACGCCTGTTGTTGTGCATATCACCCGGGGCTCTTGAGGGGCCGTGAGGGCGCCGTAGGGTACACGTACGGAACCCTTGAGCACCGCAAGGCGCCCGTAAAGATTTGTCATGAGAATTGACCCCTAAAATCGTGAGGGGCAGTCCGGGCAACGTCCAGAGCCCACATGGGACCCTGTACGGGCTTTCTACGACCTAACGGTCAGATAAAAACGCCGGGAGCAGCCAACTCAGCACCATGGCGCCCGTACGGATTAAAAAACTGTCCCGGCGCCTGTAGGAACTTTACGGCAACCGGCCGGACACCGGCCGAAAATTCCCAAAATGTCTGTTTTTACTCGCCGTACGGGCCCCGGAGTGTATATGTGAAAGCCCCATTAGCGATGCCCGTTGGTCCCGATGATCCTCTTTTTCTTATGTTAATTGAGAGCTGAGTTGATTAGATAACCACCTGTCAGTCACCAGCAGGGTGGTCTAATCCCTCCTGGCAAAACTAGTGCAGACGGGCTTTAAGATAATAATGAAAAAAGTTCCATGACACCTCGAAATTTAATTACCTGTGTGACATTTGTTATGACCAATTCATGACACCTTTATCAGACATGCACTGACAGACTGAAGCTCCCTGACGCGACGTGGCGATCGACAAATCGGCACGAAAATAACTAGCATCTATATTCAGTCTGCCAGAATACGTTTGAGAAAGATGTCTGGACTTAAACACCGAAATCGTGACACAGGTAATAAATGTTGATGTGTCTCAGAACTCTCTTCGAGAAGAAAAAAACTACTTAACAATAAATGAAAAGGTAATGTTTTTACTGTCTATTTTTACCATCATGTAGAAGTTTGGATTTCAACAAGATTACTCGATTGTACGAAGGCTGCTTTAGAGGTCTTGATAGCCTTTACTTCATGTAAGTAGGTCGATACTTTAGAGACAGGTAGATTATTCATGTTTAAAAAAATAAAATAAACAGATAACCATATTTTGAACTGGCAACAATGAAAGGCGTAGTCCACACAGGCACTTGTAGGCTTATAGGATTTTGTACCTTCTTCATTTCATTGGTATCGTATTTATACACGGTAAAATATATTGCACCCTCTGGCTTTTCTTCAGTCTTCACTATGCCGTGAACGAGATTTAGAAGAAGAAAAAAGTAATGTGTACATCACACAAAATAGAACGCCCTTCAATGCACTTAAAACTAACATAATTACATAATCCAGTGTATTTTAGCAAAATATAAATAATCTCATCGCCATGTATTTGGTACGAATAAGATTCATAATTCATTACTTCAATGATTTGCCGAATAACCTGCAGTTGACAGTTATCAATACGTATCCAATCCACAAATTAGTAACTTTATTTTCAATCTCCCTGTTATTGTTTGTGTGTATGTTTTTTTTTTTTTAATCATATTTTTTCTGCTTTATGGAATGTATGATGCTGTATCATCCTAACTGTCTATATGATATGCACAATTTTATTTAAAAACGGGTATTACTATTAATGCTACATTAGTGCTACATTTGTATATATGAACTTTTCTCAAATGTATTACCATGACTACATTATTATTTCTCTTTCAGAAATTTTGAATTCAATGATTTGACAACTATCCCATCCGGTGCATTTTTTGATGTGGGGCAGACATTGGACAGTTTGTAAGCTTCATCATTAATATTTTATTTGACATGATTGTATGATTATATTAATGTTAACATACTACTACGCTGTTGCCATATATTTGCTCTTACCTTTTTTTTATGAAATGATTGTGACAATATGGTTTATTCTTGATGGATAAAGTTCTGGGAAACTGTATACTTCGAAGCATGAATGATAATAGGAAAGAATTGATTTACCAACTATTTTGGCAACAGTGTATTTCCACTCAATTGTGAGCTTGTTAAGGAATAGTAAGGTCTTGTCTATCCAAGATGGCCTCATAGGTATTACTCCTGCTATCCCTGAGGGCCTTTCATTTATCATTACCTCAGCATTAATTTCCAACTTCACCAGCAAGGGTCGAGTGGGATAAATATTGAGAAAACACCTTGTTTAAGAATATAAACGAACCATCTTGTCTTGCGCGGGAGTCAAGATACTGTACCACTGTACCACATGCATGCAGTGATTCTAATTCTAAATATAGTCGTGTTGGTTTGCACATAATTTATCAAGGCGCAGTACTTGACGCTCTTGGAATATAACTGAATAATGCAACCACTTAATGTTAAATTGATTTTCGAAAAAAGAAACCTCTGCCTTTGTCTCTGTAATCTCTGTTCGACAGTGCTATAGGTAAAGTTGGAGCCTCTTGATACTAATACCGTTTAATTATGCTGAAGGCCTGTTTCTACAGTAGTTAATTTGTGAAATCAATGACTTTTTCCCCCTCTTTTTTGGTTGATCAACCAGCAATTATGACAATCAATCTTTAAATTTCTTCGATATTTGTCTTTACCCTAAAAGGGCCGGGCTATTTGAGGTCTTAGGACGGCCGGGGGGGGGGGCATTATGGCCCCCCTTAAGATCTCGGCCGTGAAGTGACCGATCTCCGCAAAAATTTGCATGCATGTCAAGTGAAGTGTATAGAATAATATGATAATTTCATTTTTTTTTAACTCACTTATTTCCATATTTATGGTAATTTATGCAAATAAGGTCATAAAACTACATTTTTACCCATAGATCATATATTATCCATATTTAAGCATTCTTTTTCTCTACATATATTCATTTTGACCAAGACCATTTTGAATAAAAAATATGACCAAAAAAATTGGAAGAGCCAGCTTATTGTTTTGATAATTTCTTATGTATTTCATTGTTTTTTTAACTTATGTATTTTATTGTTTTTGTTGTTTTTATTTCATTTCTTACTACAATTCAACTATTTCGACTCCCAAAACAACCACCTAAACTTTAAACAAGACCCAATAACCAATGTTTAATCTATTTTTAGGAAAAATGACATTTCCGTATGTTTTGTTCACAAATCACAAAAATGAGCGATTTTCGGGCTGACATGCAAAGACAAAAGGTCACGTGACCTTGTAACTGTAGGTCCGATTTTCAATTTTTTTTTTTTTGAAGATGCGCAAGACTCGAAAGAAAAAAGTCAGCGAGCGGCGGGGCACCATCCATATGCGTTCCCGAGCAATCGGAAAATCGTGGAGGGGGAATGCCCCCCCCCCCCGCCTTATAAGGGTTAAATCAGTAAATAATTGATTTCATTTGCATCTTTTATCTCATTTTATATAGGATTATCACCCATAATCATTTGACGTCTATTAATGCATCTATTTTCTACGGGCTCAATAAGCTTGACTTAGCGTAAGTAAAGAGTGGCGGTCCAGATATTTAGGAGCTTTGCTCCCTCTCTCTCTCTCTCTCTCCCTCACCCTCGCTCTCTCATACCAAAACGGTCTGCGAATACACTCTAGCAGTCTGGCGGTCATTTGTCTTAATCCTTCACTGTTCAACGATCCGCCATGATTTCATTTCCAAATCATTGTGGTTAATAAAAGATTCTACAACATAATTTATTCTATTGAAAAATATTATTTCTCCGCGTTAAATTTCCTACAATAACAAGTTTCTAACTTCAGTCGCTGAACTGGATTTAATGTATAAAATTGGAGCTGATCCATCGCCAAACTGTGCCTGTGGAAAGATCCAACTATGGATCACGTGCAAATCCCCTCACGGTGCTTCTGGACTTCGAGAGCTCGATGATGGGACAATCAGTTGGCTAAATAAGGATCTTCCTATATCTAGATGATGTACTCCTTGATATTCTACGTACGAACGAACAAACTGGACCCTAACTCTAAACGCAACCCTTGACCTAACACCTCCCCCCCCCCCCCCCCCAAAAAAAAAGAAAATCGCAACCTGTTTACCTCTAAACTTTTGAAGGACTATATTATGGAGCAATTGTCACCGAGGCAAATGTCGGATCACCAACAAAAAAAAATGGATTTTTACCACGTGTACTTTTTTTCTCCCCAGGTCGTTCCAAGGAAATCCGATCACTACCATTGAACCTGGTGCTCTGAATGGTTTGCCTACGTTGAGGGATGTGTGAGTATTTTGGGTCATCTAAATGAACACAAGGGAGTTTCTAAATGACGGATCCAGGGTATTTGCAAAAGGGGGACACCATCTGATAAAAATAATAATAATAATTAAATCGCCACTGAATTGCTAGCGGGAGAGGATGATGTGACATGTATTGATGTCGGCAAATCTGCGAAATGGTTGTCGATAGGTTACGTTAGAGCACATGCTGGAAAATTGATGAGAAATTCGGAAAATATATCGTAAGCTTATATACACTGTCACAGATTATATTCTGAAATAGGAAAGCATTTTTGTTGTCTATAGCCTCGATGACCAAATGTGCACTGGGGTATCCATCGCCTTCATTTGAAAGCCATGAAAATATCAACAACGCTATAGAAACAAATCTAAGGCATGTGAGCTGCCTCCACTTAATTATGTGTAACGTGATGACAGCGTTTAAATTCAGGTTGTCGTTTTATTTGAAAGGACGGGAATTCTTTTGAAGAAGCGAAATAGTATCTAAAAGGTTAATTAAATCATCATTTAAAAAAACTGCGAACTTGTGACGAATATTTCCCTACAATATAAGCCCTCGAAAATAACTCTTTATCATACTTTTCTTGCTTTATTTTCAGGCGACTTCTTTCTTCTGACAGCATTCGCCTTCAGCCAAATACATTTGTTGGCCCTTCTAAGATTGAGTTATTGTAAGTACAGACTTACAGCTATCAGAATCCCGAGTTCATTTTACATGTTTTGAAGTTGGCACCGACTTGTTCTTGTTCGATTCTTTCAGTGTTATCCTGTTCCGATCCGCGTGACTTCAATGAAGTATGATGCCCTCGCAGTGGCGTACGCAAGAATTTTTCCGGGAGGGTATTTCAAAATTGAAAATCGAGCCGACCGATATTTCGCTCAGTGTGGGAGAGGGAAGAGGGATATCCCCAATAATCGTATTTCCTCTCACCAGCATCCAAGTTAGATTGATAGTAATATGTTTTTTGTGTGGATGCAATAATATAGGGTAATTTTTTCAGTTAAATCATGAAAAATGTTAATTTTGATAAAAAATCAATAATTATGAATATACACAATATTCAGAAAATAGTATCAATTCTTCAAAGTTCATAAAAGATCTTGTGAAATGTCATGCACGCAATATGATAAAAAATCATATAACCTTGGCAAAGGCATGGGGAAATAAAGTTTTGGAGGATTAAAAAGGGAAATTAATGGGATTAAACTATATAAAGCAATTGATATAAAGTGAGGACAATACGTCACAAACTGATAACCAAATTGGCAATTTGTGTAGGGATTTCACTTGTTCCATAGTTTTATATATTTTTTCAAAAGTTCATAACTTTCTTATCAGTTATCCGATTTTGCTCAAACTTCTTTTGACTGGTTTATCTGATTTGTTTGCTTCTATTGAAAGTAGGGTTATTTTTTGAGTGGACTTGTACTTTAATACCATGTCAGTGACTGGGTGAAAATTTAATTATCCATGTGCCAGTAATTAACAGATAATAATAATAATAATAATAATAACAATAATAATAATAATAATAATAATAACAATAATAATAATAATAATAATAATAATAATAATAATAATAATTATAATAATGATAATAATGATAATAATAATAATGATAGCAATAATATTTTTTTTTAATATGATAATAAAAATAATAATAAAGATAATAATAATACTGCTATAATAATGCTAATGATGATAATGGTAATAATGATAATAATAATAATGATAATAGCAATAATAGTAATAATAAAAAAAAGTATCAAAAAACGTTTCTAAGCGCTTTACTTTATAATTGTTATTACCCCGGTCATTGTATTCAATTGCTAATCCGCAACATGATAGAGCACTCGTTCCGCTCCCTGGGGACTATTCCGGGCAGGCTCCATTTTACAAGCGCACACATGCCAATCCAACCACATTAACGTTCGCATCCTATCGGGTACCCATTTAATAACTGGGCGGACAGTGGCAAATATAGATTAATCTCTTGCCAAAGGACAATTATTAAGTACCGCGGAGGGATTCGAGCCGCGAACCATGCAATCCACAGGACGGCGACTTATCCACTAGACCACGACACCTCTTCACAAGCAAACAGTTAGGACAGGATGAATGGTGCAGTCATTGCAATTACCGCCTTCACTGCTCTGATTGGTGAAGGTTATATCACAAGAGAAATGACGCCTCGTGTCCGACGGGTGTACAAGACAGTGTCCATCCTTATGATAGCATGATCAAAGCAAAGTTGCATTCTTTTATGTTTACAAATTAGCGGGCATTTACATAAATATGGAAGAATAATAGTAAATATGATTTTCAATAACTTGTAGTAGAATGGAGGGATAAGCCTTTTGTCGTCTTGCACACATCAGAGTAAAACGCAATAATGATCAGAAAGCCAAATATAAGACCATGCTAATTTTTAATTTACAGTGACTAACATTTTCGAAGCGTCACTTTATAACTCACTTATTAGAGTCTGCTGTAACAGCACATTTCGTAAATTATGCAGTGAGACTATTGGTCATATTTGGCAACTATTTCAGTGAAAATTAATGCTTCAGTGTGTATTAGTCGTCTCGTCTGTCTTTTACAGAGTTGTTCGAGACGAACGAGTCTGTTGCATCATTCCAGAAAGCTTCGGGTGTACAACACGAGAACTGCCACATCCGCTCTTCACATGTCGAAGGACATTCCTCCAAAATATGACCATCAAAGTGTTCATCTGGATCCTTAGCATCAGTGCCTTGCTTGGTAATGGGTTTGTCATCTTCACAAGATTGCGGGATAAACCGAAAACAGCCACTGCTTCTGTTCAATCCACCTTGATCAGCAACCTTGCCGTGTCGGATTTCTTGATGGGTATATACATGTTGATCATTGCTGTCATGGATCTGTACATTGGTGAAGCGTACTTCTGGGATGGCATCGGGAACGAGTGGCGGACCAGCAATGCTTGTCAAATCGCTGGGTTTGTCTCATTCCTCAGCACCGAGGCATCGGTTTTCTTGTTGACCTTGATCAGCGTTGATCGCTTCATCGTCATCCAGTTCCCGTTTAGTCAGAATCGTCTGGGTGTCAAGTCCTCCCGTGTATTTGCGGCGATTGCGTGGCTTCTGGCATTGATCCTCAGTGTTGTCTCTCTCCTCCTGAACCAGCTGGAATCTGACGCACACGGCTTGAGTGATGTCTGCGTGGGACTTCCGCTCATCCGCAAGTTCTCCTCCGTATACTCGGAGGTGGACAGCTACACTTTGACTCGCTACGGCCTCACCACCTTCAACTTTCTTGCCTCTGGAACGTCCCCCACCTGGCAGTTTTCCATTGCCATCTACCTGGGAGTGAACCTCGTCAGTTTCCTGGTCATCATCTGCTGCTACGTCGCCATTTTCTTCAGCGTTCGCTCGAGCAGGAAGGCGGCAGGAAAGAAGTCGGCCACTGAGATCAAGATGGCGCGCAAGCTGTTTTTCATCGTTGGGACCGACTTCTTTTGCTGGATGCCTATCATTATCATGGGGATCTTCACCCAAGCTGGTGTCATCACTCTCTCATCAAATATCTACGCTTGGTTGGTGGTCTTTGTTCTGCCCATCAATTCCTCTATCAATCCTTTCCTCTATACCCTCATCGAAAAAGTAACCAAATAAGCACTGAAGTCTAATTTACAATACATGAGTGAGATTGTTGTATCGATGAATTGTTTTCACATTTTACCGATCTCTGTTTTCTTATAATTTAATGAACTAGTTTGTAGAAAGAATCTGCGCACCTGCAAATAAAGCTACTGGATTCGTAGTCATGAAAGTTATGTTATCATCGATGTACCGACAGCACGTATTCTTTTCAAGAGGGCAAACAAAATGTATTCAGAAGCACCTTTGTCACTTTGGCAGTGATTATTCTAAAATGCACAACTAAAGTGGGACTTCTCCGTGTTTAAAATATTTGAGGATATTCGGGGTAATTATTTTGAACATGTGCTATTAAAGTACGAACTGGTCTATAGAGTAACCTTAATATTTTTGATATCACAGATTGTGCATTATAATCCATTCCCGACGTGGAACCTGTATTAAGCCGATGAGAATGACAAAAAAGGAGTGAACTTGATATGTATGTTTTATAAGTATTGTATTTATTTTTATAGCATTTAGATTATACACATTTGTATTTTGTAATAAACGTTTTAACGAAATCAACAGCTTCAACATTTCCCAAATACACGATTATCACATCCAATTATTGAATACGACAATTATGGATCTACCACTACTACCGCTTTTCTGGAAACCACTAATGGTTATATTGGTTGTACATGTATTAACGTAAGTATAATTATGTTGATCAAAGTATTGCCTGTATGCCCATACAATTATTTACGGAGCTCTGACTTTCCCCCTGCCCCTACGAATAGAGGAAAGAAAAGAACCGTAGGAAAAAAAGAGCGTAAAGCGGGTTGTATTAGTGGTTCTAGAGGGGGATTAGGGGCTCAACCAATTTGATAGTATATCAATATAAAGACAAATAGAAATATGTATATATGTAAATGTGTGTGTGTTCAAATGCAGATTCGGATTCTTGCATAGTACACTCGTGTAGCGTCACTACGATATTCTGTTGATGAACAATATTTATCAATCAAGGATATAGTATATAATTATAGTCAATATGTAGAAAATGAATGTAACCCCCCCCCCCCCCCCCTCTTCGATTCTCTCTCTAGTCAGGATCCATTCTTCCGCGCAACTGCATGGTTACATGAACCCATATAGACTTATTGTATTCAAATGAGTAAAGTGTTGTTTATCATTGATATTGATCCCATTTCCTAACACCTTACTGATCAATTTGAGTGTCGTCATATTTATTTATGATACATGTATATAGGAAAGAGAAAGAAAGTGCATACGACTAATTTGTATTATTGCCAGGAAATATGTTGCTTCGATTAAAATCTTTAAAATAAACAAGGATCTCTA